ACACCATACCAGAGAGTTGTACAGTGTAGGGTTCTAGTTCTACTTTAAAACCAGACCACAATATTTCATTAAAGGTGAAGGTGAGCGTCGTTGGCTTGTTTTAAAGTAGAACTGGAACCTTAAATTACAGAATAAACATGTAGCAAATAATTGTAGGCAGCAAAACGGGACATACGTTCATAATGGCTGCAGAAACTTGTATACCCTGCCGTTTCCCCAACACAGTCCAGACCACATGCACAGTCCAGACCAAATTCATTCTTGCAGCACTTTTAAAATACATCCCTCCATCCTCTCCTCAAAGTGGCCCTCCTGTAAGAATGCTTGCTTATCAGAGACACAGCACAACCCCTGTCCTCCCTGGACTACACAACTTACCAGGTAGAATGTGTCTGAAGTAGCTGCTTTCAAGGTGAGGGTAAGGCGGTGGAGGTAGGGTATAATTTCTCTCAGGTATACCACACATTACTCCTCGGTCCCCAATGCCCATTGGAAGCATCAGAGACAATGCAGATGGCAAAGAGGGCCCCAAATTTGGAATTGCAACTGGTAATCCTATCAAGAAAACAAGACATACAGAACAGTGAAACCACAGTGGACATTTAAACAAGTGTAGAACCAAAAAACTGGAAAGATCGTCAGAACTCTTGGCTTCCAAAGTAGACAAATGCTCCTTGCAATCTGCATTCTCCTTTCTAGCTAATACAATTGGGATTGCCCCATATGCTACAGCAAAAACACAGGCGCTTGCATTTCCAACACATGTTGACCGTGTCTTTTTTGGCAGCATTTGAAGAGCATTCTTATGCCTGAAAATTAATACGCATCCTGAGGCCAAGCTTCAGTAGTGGTGCACCATGGGAAAAAGAGCTAAAGATAACATCGGCTTCCTTCAGACACAGGAAGACAAACCCTAACATTTTCCCTAAAGCTGGGCTTGATCAAGTGCACACCTTTCTGCTAGCTTGGGAAGCACAAACATTTAGCTAACGCAGGAATTAAGTTGTCGTGTTACCTGGTGCTGATATGGCATTGTGTGTTGGGGAGGACACCAGACCTAGGTGGCTTCCCGAGACAGTCAGGGCACTGCTCGCAGAGGAAGCTGCCAGTTGCTCCATCCCTACAGGGCTCAAGTTCAGTTCATTCATCCTAGTAGAAAGAGCAAATATATAGCTTAGATATTATATTCAAACCAAGGAAGTTCTCAGAACCACTCCTTATCTGGTTTAGGGTTTTGCACTTGAGCCATACAATGTGCGTAGGAAAATGAGACACGCGGGCATATTGCCAAGAGTATTTGCATCAAGGTGACATAATCTCAGGTTTACAAACTATACCACAGGCAGATTAGATTAAACTGTTAACACATTATCTGAAGAAGTGAGCAGTGACTCACAAAAGCTCATGCCCTGCCACAAATCTTGTTATTCTTTAAGGTGCTGCTGGGACTCTTGCTCTTTTCCACATTATTTACTGTCCATATTCTTAAAGGGAACTAATTCTAGAGGTTAGTATTATTAGTTGACTAATCACCTGCATTATTTTCTATTTTGAGTTTTTAAAAACTTATTCTGTGCTGCATCAAAACAACTACTACTAGTAGTAGAATTTATTGTATTTAGCCATTGGCCATTACAAGTTTTACAAAACCATAAAATACCTTCGAAACAACTATGCGTATAAGGAAGCTTGCTTCTGTAAGCTATTTGTAATATCTGAATACCATTTAAAAAAAAATCCAAATAACTGAATCAGAGTCAACTATTCCAAATAACCAGTGGTTCACCATTCTATCATTTTTATCCCAACATCCTTCAAAGGAGCTCAGGAAAGTGTACATGGTTCTCCCCTCCCCAATTTTATCCCCAAAATAACTCTGTAAGGTAGGACAGGGTGAGTGGTCCAAGACCACCCAGCAAGTTTCATGGCTTAGTAGGGATTTGAACCCATGTCTTCCAACACTGGAAGACACTTCTAAATCCTAGTCCAACACTGTAATCACTGCACCACTCTAATTCTGTGTATTTATTTGATGTCTACCCTGCTCTTCAATCCGGGGGTGGGGGAGAGACTTACATAAAATACAATCCAATTGGGGCTGCTTCCATCCCCTCTAATGCAGCCAACTGCTACAGGATTGTTCCCTGCCTAACAAGCCCCAGTATTCATTATGCCATTGGGGTTTCTCCCATTCCCTTTTATCTCATTTCACTCCCTGACTGCTCGCAGCCAGACAGTCTCACTGTGCACTCCTTATTTCCTTAGGACTTCAGGCCTCACTGTGTAAGGACAGAGGTTTGCTGCAACTATGTCTTAGAGGAGTTGCTGAGTGACAGCAATTGCAGCACAGTCCTATGCAAGTTTACACAGCAGAAAGATCCTTTGTGTGTAATCTGGTTTTCATCCAGGTAAGCGTTATGAGTCTGCAGGCCAACTGTCATAAACAAGAATATACACCACAGGAAAAAAACACATTTTTTTTGGATCTGGATATCAGGGAACTGGAAAATATCTGTATACCCAGTTATTCAGGTCCCAAATACCAGTTTGGCATTTGGATCGGAGTTTTTTGGGGATTTTCCGATATTATTAGGCTCCATTATTCCCTATGAGGAATCTTTCACAGGGCTGTTTTTAAGCTAATGGCATCAAAATTGCAGCGGAGCTGCCAGTGCCTGTCCACTAAGTAACCACCAAGTTTCAAGTGAATTGAACCAAAAGGCCCTATTCTATGGACCCCTGGACAAAGTGCCCCCAGCCATTTTCCACATTTTTCTGGAGGGGTTTCTCCAAGGCAAACCAAATACTCAAGAACAAGCTAAGCAATCCCTGGCCAAAAGCCTCTCAAAACAAGCAAAACCAGCAAGCTCAAAGAACCAATGGAGAACTAGGGAATCCCAGCAGAAGCAGGGAACAATGTGGCAAGCCTAGCATAGCAACTGTCAAATCAGAGAATCAAAACCAATGCCAAACCCCATATCCTCCAAGCCAAACAATTTTAACAAGGCAGCTGTTGCAAGCCCAACCAATGTCAAACTGGAAAATCAAATCCAATATTGGACCAGAGAATCCATGCCAACATCAAACCCAAGAATCCAATGCAAACCAATGAGGAAAGAAATCAATGTTGAAACTTGCAGGAGCCATGGAACTAATTTCAAAAGCACAGAATCCATGCCAAATCAACCTGGCAAGCCAATACCAAGCACTGGCAAGAAAACACTGACAGAGACACAGGAAAATTCCAGGGGGGGGGGGGGGGTTAGTCCTGGGACCTTAAAATGCTAGCTCTCAATATTCCCGGTTTCTCCAGAATATTTCCAGGATTTTTTGGGACCCATTTCCCAGTATCCTGGAAAATCCTAGATACCATCCAGAGACCTGAATATATCCACAAAATACCAGTATTTTTTGATACATATTTGAACCTAAATGATCTGAAAGCACATCCCCAGTCATAAGCTTAACTTGGGATCACTGATAAGCTGGTGCATCACATGGTGCACAACCTGTGTTTTTGTTACCATTCTTGTTTTGGTGAAAGCTTTAGTAGTCTTGCATTCCAACTTGAAGCTATCAATAAATTCAATAAATTCAACATTGGCAAATACATCTCTAATACTTCTGATACTACTTAAAACTACAATTTTTCTAAAAATCCTGGCTTGTATACCAAGTCACAGCAAAGAAAAGTCAGTATGAACATACTTCAGAAGTGGGAGATGCACAAGGACTTGGGGGGGCTGTCTCCTTTTCCTATGTCCCCACTAGTTCCTCTTTCTCTTACCTGAAAGTTCTCTCCTTTTCCTGCTTCCTTTTCTCATTCCCACTCCCTAGCTTACCTACCTTTATCACCCCCACATCTTCGGCTCTCCTTCATTCCCCACTTTGGCAGCCTTTCCCCTGGAAAAGTGTGGCTGAGTCGTGTGGTGGTTGCTAGACCTTGGCCAGGCCCCATGGCATGGTACCCATTGCTGCTAGCACCAGGCCAGCCCAGGCTGTGTGATGGCTAGCACCACCATGGGCTTTGCATTGGCTGGGCCCAGATGCATGTTGGCCACTGACAGGCTGAGCTGTATGGCAGCCACTGGGCCAGAACAGGGCAGGCCAATTTGTGTGGGTAGTGAATTTCTGGTAGTCACCATTGGGTGAGTCTTCCTCCATCAGGGGACATTACAGTAAAGGAGAAGCCCTGACAATATTATTGTGGTTGCCTAGCAACCCCCATTAGCCACTGGGAGTTTCATGGCCATTCTTTACTTAAAGGAACAGTCCCCCCCCCCCCGTTATTTGGGAGAGTTTTAATTCACCTATTCACCTTTTAAGATTTTTCTGCAATCCAGGGTCTTCCTTCAAGTTCACAGATCAGTCTGTCCCTTGCTTTATTTTGCAGCTCTGTTGCTCATATCCTCTATGGTACAGTTTGGAGATATATATTTTCACAAGCAAGGACTCAAGAGAAACTCAGGGGGAAATTCTCTTACTGGTCCCTTCTTCCTCCTCTGGCTTCTGACATCCCCCAGCCACCTTTCGCAACACTTTCCTCCCATTGCCGCCTCCTCCCCACATGTTTCTGTTTCCACACCCTTTTCCTTCTCCCCTCTTACCCCAGCATTGGTCTCCACCTCACCCTGCAGCTACCCCCTTCCCTCAGTCTGACCTCCCTGCCACTCACCCGCTCTCACTGCTCTTCATGCCGCCCTTGCCCTTCCTCTCCTCGCCACTCTGCCCACCATCCTCCTTGAAGGGACACTCATCGTTGTTCCTTGTGTCAGCATTTCAGCTCAACCCTCAAGTTGATCATACACAGGTTGCTCAGACACAGAATTGCCTGGGAAGAAGTGGGGAGAACTGGTGATGCTACCTCTTTTGCAGCCAACCCAACCAATGCTGGGTTCTTGGCTTCTGATAGGGCCGTCACACTGAGTGGCTTTTTCCCCCTCAGAGGGGGAGGCAGAGGCAGCTCCAATGCACAAATAAACATTCCTCTGTTTTTGGTGATTTCACCACTCCCCTCTATTCCCCCTCCCAATTTCTCATTTTTCTATAAACCTGAGGGGGTTGCCCAAGTTTCCAGAGAAATAACTGTAATCTGTACATGGATCCAAGCCATGGATTTAAGTATCCACAGATGGGGTCATGTTGACTATTAGATATATTGATTTATGTTTTTGCTGCTTTCCAAAGTAATAGGTGCCAGTAGGTGAGCTTTTTAATCCAACATTTTTAAATACAAACAAATTATGAACTGAGGCCCTTTTCTAAAACTAGAACAGATCAATTTATATAGTTATAATCCACCAATTTAAATATATTTTCCTTTTGCAAGAATCAATATATAGGCATCTTTTGAAGAAAGTACAATTTACAAGCGCTACTACCATTCATCACCAGAAGGAAAGTTCATCTTTAATTATTTTCATTTCCATTCCCTGTTATCATAACTCATCAAAATGGCCTAAAACAAACAAGTCCTTAACTTAGAGACCCACCAAATAACACTGGCCCATCAACTAATGGACTAATCCATCAATTAAAGCTTGCAACTACCCAACCAGATTTTCACACTTTGGTTTCCCTTCTCACATCTCTTTCCTTACTTAACAATGTGTAACCCAATAGCAAGTCCTCAGTCTCTCAGAGACATTTAGTCAAAGCAAAAATGATGGTTCATTAAATGCCTTTTTATTTATTTATAAATTTATATATCACTAACAGACTAACACTATCAATTATCACAGGGGCATTGTGAAGATAAAAATGGAGGCAAAGGGAATGATGTCTTCTGCTTTGGGTCTCTACTGGGGAGAAATTAAATAAATCTACAAATATTAGTCAGAAATATAAAAATATGTCCAGGTGAGGAACTATTCTTCATTTTTATTTCCATTAAACCTCAAAACTGGGAAACTATTTAGAAACCAATCTTACAAAATATTAAAATATGTTATTTTGCTGGGGAAAAATCACAAATGATTGGCTCAGTGGTGAACAGCTGTATTCTTACATCTGGCTCCACATTCCATTGGTTTCATGCAAAACATTAATGCAAAGGATTGAATTGTTTAGAGATACCAAGCGGTCCAGCTTCCACTACAGAGAAGGCACAATGTGTGTTTAAGCTCACAGATCACAAGCGCATGTCCATGCACACATAACAGAGTACTTGCAATATACTCTTTCCTCTGCCTTGCCCTCACCTGTCAGTAATATAGGACTGGTATGTCTATAGCCTGTAAAGACCTCCTGTGCTTTTAAGAGAGAAAGTGAGCTTTCTCCATCACTGTGCTGAAAAAAACCCACTCTCTCTGAAATCAGGTCAGCTGTAATTTCTAAACGGGCAGGGGCCTCAGAATGACAACAAAAGACACCTCTATGCACAGGAGCTTATAATCTAAACAGCAGGTCTTCCATATAAACATTTATTAATGGGCCACTGAGGAGGGAAGTAAGTGATGTGCAATAAAGGGTGACGAGTCATTCAATATGTCATTTTGGACAATTCCCTTACCAAAGGCCTACTTATGGGCAGAAGGAATAGAAGGCAAGGCATGAGGTGAAGTAATTTCTCATTCTGGAGATCAATAAAATGGAAGCTTAAATGTTCCCAGGATGTGTGATTCTTGTCATAAGAGCATCAAACCTCAGAGTAACGCTGGACACTGACAGATTGATTTGGCTTCACTCTAGATGCTTTTGCCACCTTAGTTCCAATTTTTTTGAAACATAGGATCATCACAGAGCACATAGGTCTTATTATTAATAGACCTGGCATTAAATAACACCAGTGTCAGAGAAGGGTAAATTTTCCTAGCCCCACAACCAACATCTCTTGGGATGGGACGTAGGTGGGAAGAAGTCTGAGCATTCCCATATCTCTGACTCCTTCCATTCCCATTAATGGAAAAGCACCAACGCCCACCACTATATCTCCCCCACCTCATAATCACTGGTATCCCTGACCAATGTTCCCTCTAAGCTGTGAAGTCTCATGAGCAAAAATTCTACTTTGTGAGCTCCTGGCATTAAAGTTGTGAACGAGCTATTTGGCTCCTGCATAAATTAGTTTGCTCTGGAGCCATCCTTCATGAGCCAAGACAAAAATGTGTGAGCCGGAGGCTAAAAATCTATGAGCTAGCTCACACTAACTCAGCTTAGAGGGAACACTGTCCCTGACCCCATGCATCTCAAGCAAGATGTATCCCACACAGAGTTAACTTCTAGAGACCCTGAGGAAGCAGGTGAATCCTGACCATTCAAGCAATTCACGTTAGCAACATTAACAGGACAAATATGGACTGGAATTTATCATAGAGAGGTACAAAAAAATGGAGAACAGGAACAGCTGGTGTATAGGAACAGCGCCTTGTACTTTTGTTTAGAAATTTTATCCCACTTCTCTTCTAAGAAGTTCATGTCAGTGCTTGTTCCTGGCACAGCTGGCACCGTGTGCAAACTATGTAAACCTTCTGGCATGCACAAGCTAGTATGTCAAAACGCAAACATGAAAAACACTGGCCAAGAGGCAAAGCAGAACTAAAATCCTACAAGCTCATCTGTCTACAAAAGTACCAATTGTGTTACTCCACAGCTGTGCTTATTCAAACAATGAGGGGAAGACACTCCAACATGCTCAGAGGCACATCTAGTTAACATAGCAAGGTGGTAAGAGGAGGATCTGTGAAATCCCAATTCAAATACCGGTTCAGCCATGAAGCTTGCTGGATGACCTCAGGCCAGTCCCTCTCTCTCAGCCCAACCCACCCTCATGGGGTTGTTGTGAGGATAAAATGCAGGAGAGGAGGAAAATGTATGCCACCCTGAGCTCCTTGGAAAAAAGGCGGTATAAGAACATACTAAATAAATATTACTGTAGCTATTCTACTTCAAGTAATGGAAATAGGAACCCTGGGCAATTCCAGCCCTGGCCATACACACCAGCACACACTCTTCCCCTAAAGCAGTATACACAACACAGCCTTTCAATTGTATCACCTCAGTAGCCTTGTGGGGCACGTTTTCTTGACAGACCATCCAACCGCTTCAAATCACCTGTATCTGAAGAAGTGAGCAGTGACTCAGGAAAGCTCATCCCCTGCCACAAATGGTATTAGTCTTCAAGGTGCTCCTGGACTCTTGCTCTTCTCTCCTGCTTCGAACCACCTTGTCAGCTTCACGGCTGAGCAAGGATGACTGGACCGCTCAAGTCCAGCAAGCGCGGGCGCTACGAAGGAGTGGGAAGCAAAACCACGGTTACATTCACGCCCGTGTCACCCGCCCTCCTTTCCAGGCTCTCTCAGCAGCAGCCTCCACTGTTCCCCTCAGTCCCTCCATCTCATGCTCACAACCACCCCGTGAGGTAGTCCAGGCCGTTGAGTGGCCGTGCCGTGAGTGACCCAGGCGAGGGGGCATTTGAAGGGGCATTTGAAAAGGCATCTCCCCCCCCTCCCCGCTCTACCCACACCGCCTCCTCTCACCTGTGATGCATCTGCCTGGCGAAACCGGGAAGGGGAAAGACCCGCCGGCGGCGGCGGCAGCAGCAGCCTTCTCCTCTTCCTCCTCCTCCTCCTCATCTGGTCTCCCCCTCAGCCCTTCAGCAGCCCGGAGCTGCTCCTCTCCGCCCCAGCCAAGCATGGGTCTACTGCCTTCCCCCGCAGCCCAACCCAGGCCTCGGAGCCGCCGCCGCCGCTATTGCTACTGCTGCCGCTACCACCGCCAACCACAGCGACCGCCGCGGCCTCCTCACGGGCCACCGCGGCGCCAGGAAGTGAGCGCGCCCCCGCCAGAGGGGGTGGCGGCGCAGCCCCAGAACAGCCCCCGCCTGAGGTGGAGGGAGCTGAAATGGGGGGGGGGGGGGTTAGGGGGTGAAAAACGGCTAGGGTCGCGCACGGGCCGGCTATTGCTTCCGCTTTGTTTCGCATCCAGGAAGCGACCCCGCGCGCCGCCCTTCCTGCCAGTGCTCCATCCTCCCCCTGCTTTAGAAAACAGCGGGCGCGTTTTGCTGGGTGCGCTCCTCCCGCCGTGCAGACTCTTCCCGCCAAAAAGAGCTGCTTTGCTTTGCTTCTCTCCCCCTCCCCTCCCCTCCCCTCCCCTCGGTACGCACCTTATAGTGCTCTTTACATCCAGTCGGGAATCGGTGTGTGAATGAACGGTATTGTCAAGATGCAGTCATCTACCGCACCAAAACCGCACGGGCTGCTTTTTTTAAAAATGCACACATTCCACCAAGATGGAAAAAGATCCCAGACCGGACTTCAGCTCCTCCTGGAAGTTTCAAAAGAAAGTGCTGCTGGGTGAGGTGGTGCAGGAAATAGGGTTACAGGAAAGGACTTGTGTAGGCATTTAGCTGTCTGCAGCTCTACCTTTTGATCTTGACAGGAAACAAGTGAAATCAAAACATCTCCAGGGCTCAATGGATTAACAGTTTATAAAGGTACGTTTCCTTTTACAGTAGAAAATCCCGCAATATCATTGCTCCAAAAAAAGTGTTACAGGCTAGTTTCTAAAGGGAAATGCCTTGGCCTCTGAATAATTTGTTGGCTCTGAAGAATGTGAAAGCAGGATGTCTGACTAGATAGACCAGCAGTCTGATCCAGCAGGGCTAATTTTTTGGCTGCTTTGAATGGGGAATTCAATGGCATTATATTCCAGTGAAGTCCCTCCCTTCACCAAACCTTCAGGCTTCATCCCCAAATCTCCAGGAGTTTCCCAACCTGGAAATTGATTTCATCATCTCACAAAGAGTTTTTATGGTGTTAGAGTTGCCAACCACTCTGTGGGACTTGGAGATAGCCCATAATTACAACTGGTCTCCAGACAATATAGACCACCGCCCCTGGAGGAAATGGTTGCTTTTGGAGGGTGGTCTTATTTGGCTGAGATCCCTTCCCTCTCCAAACACTGCCTTCCACGCACTCCATCCCAGAATGTCCAGGAATTTCCCAATGAAAAGTACGCAGACAGAGAGTGATTTCAGCAAAGTGTACTTTATTCGATCAGGAACAAGACGACTTTGGCCGGCTCACAGGCCGGCTTATATTCCCCAAGAAACCGCCACCCAAAACCCACACACACCCTTCCCAATAGGTTATTTACAGCGTCCGAAAGTCCCATTGGCTCTCGGCCAGGAACCTAGCCCCCTGATTGGAGCGGGCTAGGATCCGCATAGTCCATTGTCTCTTGGAGCGAAGCTCGATGTTTGTCTCTGGACTTGTCTGGACATGTCAGGACTTGATACACCACACCCCTCCCCCCTTGGTCCGCAGTGCACCCACAGACAAAGTCCTTCAGGTGGGCTGGTAACTTCCTGGTGCGGGTAGAGCAGCGAGGTTCAGGGACTGCTGCGGCTTCTACCCCCGGAGCCCTCGGAGGTGAGCTGGCCGGGAGAGGCACTGGGGGCAGCGGTGCCGGCATCCCCGGCGCCTCCAGAAGAGGTGTCTCGGGTTCAACCAAGGGTAGAGGCCGAGGGTTGGCCACCAGGAGTTGGGCCTGGGGTGAGGTCTCCAGAACCTCGGCTATGTTCGAGTCCTCGGGGTCCAATGGCATCGTCTGGTGGCGTAGCTGGTCGATGTGCCAGTGTAGAACTTGGCCATCCTCACAAGAGACCTCATACGATCTGGGGCCCTTAACTCGTATGACTCGTGCCGGGATCCAGGCTGGCCCCCTGGCGTAGTTTCTGGCATACACAGTATCCTCCAGGAAGAATCCCCTGGCCGCCTCGTGGTCCTCCGTGGCTGGTGCCTCTGCTGGTGCTCGATCGGGGTGAAGGCGGTCCAGCCGGGTTGTCAGGCGGCGGCCGAGAAGTAGCTCTGCCAGACTGTGCCCCGTAGTGGTGTGGGGCGTAGTCCGCTGGCCGGAAAGGAAAGCCGCCAGTTTGTAGTCCCAATCTGAGGAGTCCAGGCGGCGGAGGGCGTCCTTTGTTGTGTGGACCATGCGTTCCGCCTGGCCGATGGTCCCGGGATGAAACGGGGCCGACCGGACGTGGCGGATACCGTAGTACCTCGTGAAGTCCTGGAATTCCACTGAGGTAAATGCTGTCCTGTTGTCTGTGACCAGCGTGTCGGGGATTCCCTGGGCGCTGAAGATCCGCCACATTGCCCAGATGGCCGTCTTCAATGACGTGGAGGGTACTGGGACTACCTCTAGCCACTTACTGTAGGAGTCTGCAAGTATGAAGAAAAGCTGGCCCTGGAAAGGTCCCGCAAAATCTAAGTGTAACCTGGACCAGGTGCGGTTCCCAGGCCCTCTCCGGGGGTCGGGGGGATTCTGGCCACGAGGCTTGGCATGGCTGGCACCTCTTTACTACGTCCTCAATGTCTTTGTCCAGCCCCAGCCACCAAACCTAACTCCTGGCCAAGGCTTTCATGCGCACCACCCCTGTATGCGCCTCGTGCAGGGCAGTGAGAACCCGTTCCCTTAGGGGCTTAGGGATGACCACCCGGCTTCCACACAGTACGCAGCCTTTGTAGGCAGACAGTTCATCCTTCCGGGGAGCAAAATCCGGGTCCCCTTTGGCCTCTGGCCACCCCCTCACCACCCAGTCTAAGACCCGACAGAGAAACTTGTCCTTGGAGGTGCAGCGGGCCACCTCCTTGACGTGGACTGGCTGATCCGGGAGGGACTCCAGGAGCGCAACCTGGAGAGCGGGAGCCGGATCTGGGTCGCAGATGGGCAGTGGGAGGTGGCTCAAGGCGTCCGCATGACCCATCGCCTTCCCCGGGCGATGAACGAGGGTATAGGAGTACCCAGCCATGAAAATGTACCATCGCAGCACCCGGGGCGAGATCATCTGGGGAGCTTGGCGGTCGGGGGCGAGGAAGCCCAGCAGTGGCTTATGGTCCGTGAGGACCGTGAATGGGCACCCATACAGGTAGTGGTGAAATTTTTTCACCCCGCCACAATAGCCAAGGCCTCTTTATCAGTTTGCGCGTAGTTGCGCTCAGCCGCAGACAGAGTCCGCGAGTAATAGGCAACCGGTACCTTGCGACCGTCCGGCAGCTGATGTCCCAGGACTGCCCCAACCCCGTAAGGCGAAGCGTCGCAATCCAGCACCACGGGGAGAGCCTCGTCGAAATGCGCCAGGACCGAATTTGACACCAGCAGGTCCTTAACTGCTTGGAATGCCGCGAGGAGCGCAACCTGGAGAGCGGGAGCCGGATCTGGGTCGCAGATGGGCAGTGGGAGGTGGCTCAAGGCGTCCGCATGACCCATCGCCTTCCCCGGGCGATGAACGAGGGTATAGGAGTACCCAGCCATGAAAATGTACCATCGCAGCACCCGGGGCGAGATCATCTGGGGAGCTTGGCGGTCGGGGGCGAGGAAGCCCAGCAGTGGCTTATGGTCCGTGAGGACCGTGAATGGGCACCCATACAGGTAGTGGTGAAATTTTTTCACCCCGCCACAATAGCCAAGGCCTCTTTATCAGTTTGCGCGTAGTTGCGCTCAGCCGCAGACAGAGTCCGCGAGTAATAGGCAACCGGTACCTTGCGACCGTCCGGCAGCTGATGTCCCAGGACTGCCCCAACCCCGTAAGGCGAAGCGTCGCAATCCAGCACCACGGGGAGAGCCTCGTCGAAATGCGCCAGGACCGAATTTGACACCAGCAGGTCCTTAACTGCTTGGAATGCCGCGGCTTGCAGCGGCCCCCAGACCCAAGGTGCCGACTTGTCCAGGAGGTGGTGGAGCGGCTCTGTAACTGCAGCTTTGAAAGGCAAAAAGGAGTGATAGAAGTTCAATAGCCCCAGAAAAGCCTGCAGCTCCGATTTGGATTTTGGGGGCGGCGCGTGTGTGATGGCTTTCACCTTGTCCGTGGAGGGGTGGAGGCCGGAGGCGTCAACCGCGAAGCACAGAAATTCTACACGAGCGACCCCCAGCAGACACTTCTCCCGCTTGACCTTGAGTCCTGCCGTGTCGAAGCGATGTAACACAGCCCGCAGCCGGTCAGCAAAAGACGAGTGGTCCGGGGCTGCGATCAGCACGTCATCTAAAAACGGCTGAACTCCGGGGATACCTTTTAGGAGTGAATCCATAAAAGATTGAAAATACCTGGCGCGACCGAGACTCCGAACTGGAGGCGGTGTACCTTGAATGC